AGAAAATTTTTATCATTTTACCGATCATTACTAAAAATGATCGACAGCCGGTGACTTTTGTCAGGGGAGTGTACATATCCACATGAATGCACACGTTCAAGGGTAGTGATAATATCTTTAATATCTGTTTTTTGTAAATTATTAACTTTCTCGCCAAGAGGAGTAATGATAAGAGTATTCTCATCATAAAAAAGAATTTTTGGGATATGAGGTGAATTCAACTTCGAAAGTTCTTCCAATACGGCTCTTTCTCGTTTAATGCAAGATAGATAATCTACCTTTTTCATCATTTTCAGGCCACAGGTTTATCATCGTAAATTCCTTCATATACAATACTTGTTCTGCCTACACCAATATATTGAACCAATTTCACCATATCTTCGCCAAATTTCAATGATGGTTCAACCCATCCTAATTTCTCTGGAAAGCTTTCCATTATTGTTACAAGATATCTCCACCCTTTGGAAGAACCTCTAACTGGTGTGTTGTAATTTAAATATTCACTCTTTATGTAATTATATGTAAACTGGGTATCTCTATTCACCCTATAGATATTAATTATGATACAATCTGTTAACACTACATACACATAGTTTCGTCGTGGCTGAAATTGAAGTACTTTTTCACCGAATGAAATTGCATGTCCTAGATCTGCATTACTAAAGCTTTCACCAACTCGCTTCTTGATCTCACCAATAGCTACAACATTTAATGGATCCAAAGGAGAATCGTTTGGAATGAATACAAAATCTGGTTTTTGAGTTTCCACCAATGGTGAAAAATGAGTGTCTCCGACAGTAAGTTTGTTTTGTATGTTTTCATCATTTTCTAAAACTCTACATTCATCTATAAAATATTTTTGCATTTCTTCTTTTGAATTTGCATTCTTGTCCATGTTAGGTAGATATAAAAACTTTCCAGGTGATTTTGCTTTGAAACTTTCAGTTAAATTAAATGGAAATTGAATTTCGGCACCACTTTCTTGCACAAATTTACCCTTTTCAGTATTTGTAAAAGTACCTAAACAAAAAATGTTAATGACATTTCCAGAATAGTTGAAAAACTAGGCGAATAACATACCTATAGAACTGTACCATGCATCTGCAGCAAAACGTACCCTCTTCAGCAGCATATGTATTTCACCATTCATCTCATCCAATTTGGAATCAATTTTGGAATTAATTTCATCATTCGCCTCATTCATTTTATTAATTTCATCATTCACCATGTTCATTTTATCATTTACCACGTTCATTTTATCATTCACCTCGTTCATTTTGGAATTAATTTCGCCATTCACCTTGTTCATTTTGGAATCAATTTTGGAATTAATTTTATCAGCAATTTCATAAATATGTTTTTTTAATTCTGTAAGATATTGAAGTGTTAAGACATAGTCAATATTTTTAAATCATATTAGAAAAATTACCTTGTTTTTCACCTGAAAATGAGATAAAATATGATTAAATATTGAAGGCAGCTCAAATAATTAAACCATATTCACTTGTATTGAATAATTTGATTACAACTCACAAGCAGCAGATTGTTCTATAATACATGAACATTTTTTGGACGATTTTGATGATAAGCAGAAAAAAAAAGCTTAAAGTAAGTATTCATTATCACTGACAAAGTATGACAAATGAAAGAAGAACGAAGTCAAACACATTAAAACACACTTTCTAATATATTTTTCAGGCATATAACTTTAATGTCATCATCGCAAAATTTGAGGACTTCATCCAAATTGGGTATTTTATTAGGATTTTTGACAATATAAGCAAGTAAGGCACTATATTCATCCTTTGTAATTAAAGTATTCAAGAAAAGGCGGTCAAATACTTGACAGACAGCAGTTGCAGAAGCAGTAGTAGACATGTTTTTGTGTAAACAATAGGTTCGTCCTGGAAAAGAAAAATCTTTTTTGCATAAGAAATCGATTGATGCACAGATTAATACCTGATAGGAGAGCACTACGTACGTATCGCTATCACAAATTTGGATAATTCAGGCACGTCACATTAGGGTGGGGCCTCAACTAATTAAATCAAAACATAGTTAGGGTAATATATAAAGATCATTAATTTCGGATTTTTTATAGGCCGTATATTTAAATATTAAATTAAATTACATTTATTAGCATAACTAAC